GTTCTTTTAAACTGACTATGGTCATCAACTTCCTCAAACACATCAGCACACAAAAAAAATGTTGTTTTGACGATTACTAAAAATAGGAAAGGGACAAGTAGACCTTCAATGTAAATCTTTTATTGCTATAAAACTGTTTTGGGTTAACTCCACTCCAAATTACTGCAATGTGCAAGGAACTCAAAAAGATCATGAAAACTAACATTGAACCAATGTCCTTTAAAATGCATAAGCTGCTTGAAAATGTTCAAATATCGCCCTCCCTAGAGTCTGTTAAAATAACAACCCTGTTCCTTGTAAAGTATATTAGTCCTCTGTGGATGCGGGAAAACAGATAGCATGGTTCCTAGATTTCTCTGGTTCTGTGTTAGTCCTTTGGTGTCTTGATTGGGAATTACTTATGCCTTTTTAAAAATCAACTTAATTGATTCATAAATGCATCAAGTTTTTTTTTTTAAAAGACCACTGAACCTGCTAATGACCCAACAGGAAGAATAGTATCAAATATGTTATATACATCAGTATTTAAAGGAATCTGTGATCTCAGCTGTGTGAGGTATTGCCTGCAGGGATGCAGATCGCATCTTATTCATGCTTCTCATCTTAGATCACTCTTATGCATGCCTTGCCATCAGTTGTCCACAAAGGGTCCTTATTCCTCATGTACATGTGTGTGAGTGCATGTAGATCCCCCCCAATTACATGTTAAAACAATTTTTAACATTTTTTAAAATTTTGAGTTCCAAATTCTATCCCTCCTTTCCTCTCTTCCCCTCTCCTTAAGAAGGTAAGCTATCAGATATAGGTTATACATGTGCAATAATGTAAAACATTTCCATATAAGTCATTTTTGTACAAAAAGACTTGAATAAAAGAAAATAAATGAAAGAAAGAAAGTGAAAACTAGCATGCTTCCATCTGTATTCAAATAATGTCAGTTCTTTCTCTGGAGGTGGATAGTATGCTTCATCATTATTACTTTGGAATTATCTTGAATCATCGTGTGTTGAGAATAGCTAAATCATTCACAATTCTTCATTGAACAGCATTGTTGTTATTGTGCACAATGATATGGTTCTGTTCACTTTACTATGCATCAGTTCATGCAAGTCTTTGCAGATTTTTTCTGAAATCTTTCTGTTTGTCATTTCTTATAGAACAATAATATTCCATTGCAATCATGTACCACAGCTTATTTAGCCATTCCCCAATTGATGGGTCCCCTTTGATTTCCAATTCTTAGCCACCACAAAAAGCTGCTATAAATATTTTTGTGCAAATAGATCCTTTTTTTTTCCTTTGGATGTCTTTGGGGTATAGACCTAGTGGTGGTATTGCTGGATGAAAGGGTATGCAGTTTTATAGCTCTTTGGGCATAGTTCCAAAGTGTTCTCCAGAATGGTTGGATCAGTTCACTACTCCACCAACAGTGTATTAGTGCCCCAGTTTTCCCAAATGCTCTCTAACATACATCATTTTCCATTTTTGTCATGTTAGCCAATATGATAGGTGTGAAGTAGTACCTTAGAGTTGTTTTAATTGGATTTCTCTAATCAATAGTGATTTAGAGCCGTCTGTTCTCTAGGCTAAATGACCCCATTTCCTTGGACCAGTCCTCTTATAGAATGATCTTAAGCCCCTTAACTCTAGTAGATGCAATTCTCTGAATGTTCTCTCATTTTTTTTTCCTGTTCCTTAACATAGTCATTTAGAGTAATCATGAAGTTATTCAGGAAATATAAGGATATAATGGCAGGGTAGAGTTTTTCTTATTGTTTCAAAACTATTTTACTTCTTTTGCTTTAGCAAATCTGGCCACCTTTTCTATACAACTTAAGAAGATCCATGCATGCCTTTCTGTATGCTATGCCCATAATATCTGTTCAATTGAAAGTGTTGCTGTATCTCTGGCCTTGTTTACATTTTCATGGCAACTTTTTGGAATCTGAGTGCATGCATACTTTCACTAAATTTTGTTGGAATTGTTGTAGAAGTTAGAAAAAAATTTATATAGTGTCAACAATTTGCTTTATTTGTTTATTTTAGATATTTCAAGGATACATTTTTCTCATATTAGTTTTGCAATAGTAAAATTTCCATTTCCTTAGTAAATGTTCTATTTTCCACATGAATTACCAGTATAGAAACATTTGGAGCTTTATGTCCACTGCACATCTGAAAAATCTTGAGAAATTTAATTAATTGCTAAATGTAGACCCCCTAATATAAGTGGAAAAGGATCTGGTATCCATGACCTACATAGGCTTAACAACTGAGATGTTTTAGGGATTTGCCTACTCTTCATTTTGGTCTAACTCATGAGGAATAATTAAGATAGTTCCTCTAGACCTTGCACAAAATGCAAGTATCCATTAGATAATCATTAATATCTCACTGCTCACTCATTCTTAAACCCTTTGCAATCTGGCTTCTGTTTCTACCACTCTCCTGAGGTTGCTCTTTCCAGATCATTAATGATCTTCTGAAATCCAGTGCCTTTTACCCACCCTGTTCTTGATAACTCTGCAACATTTAACCCTACCCTCCTTCTTTAAATTCTATGCTCCTTTAAGTTCCTCTCATGGTTTTCCCCATATCTTTCTCCATCATCACATCTTCTCTGTCTCCCTTACTCTCCTTTTTCCTTCTTCACACCATTTGATATACTTAAAGTACGTATTTATGCATACAAACATACACACACATATATAATATAGTCCAGTGTTCTTTTTTAGTCCCCATCCTCTATTCCTCCTAAGCCATCTGATGTGGCAATATCTTTTGTTCAGATGACCCCAAATTTACCTCTCTACTCACAACAATCTCTACAGAGCTTTAATACTATAATCTTGGAATAATCTTTACTCTTTTCTCCTGACATACACATTAAGTTTCCAAGCCTCTCACATAAATGCAAAATATTTCTTGTTTTTCCCCCTCCTCTACCACCACTTAATCCACTTTAGTCCTTTCTCTCTTCCATCAAACTTTCTCTGATCCTCTTGTCACCCCAGATCAAAATGATCTCTCTCCGTCCTCAAATTTATGATGGCATTTTGCCTGGAGCTCTCCATTGTCCTTATCTTCTTTTATGATATTTATTTGTCTTTCCTCCCTATTAGACTGTAAGTGCCTTAAGAGAAAAGCCTGCATAGTATCAATCCTTGTATCTCCATTATCAAGCACAGTACCGTACATATAGTAGGTACTTAATATTGAATTGAATCAATTATTTATATGTTGTCAGTGAACCAAGTAACATTTATTAAGCACCTACTACATGCCAGACACTGTGGTAAGAACTGGAGATGCTAAGAAAGACAGAAAACAAGGAACTCACATTTGAATATGCAGTGGATTCAAAATGATGAGAAAAGCTAACTAAATTGTTTTCAAGAAGGATATAATTATCAGTCATATCTTTAAACTTTTCCTGTACAAGATTTGGTCATCATGGTATATGTGTATCTATCTCATTAAGGTGATATAATCTTTAAAGTTAACTTTGAATCTTATGGTCTGTGCTTTAGTTCTTATGCATGAAAGTATTAACCTGTGCCAAAGTTCTTGTCTATGCTTCATTGTAGCTGGTTTCCAGAATTTGGTATCTGAAGGCTTACAAAGTGTCTAAACCATAAAGGCTCTAGGGAAGCCCTCAGTAATAATCTAAGAGATTCTAAAATTTGACATTTGCCACAGTAAGTAGGAAGATAGTCTTCTAAGCTTCTTGACAGTACCCTGGACAAATAATTCCCAAGGTAGAGAGGAGCTAAGATGCATGTCACTACACCCATTCTTTTATCTTGCTTCCAGAAATTTATATTTCAATATAGCAGAGAGCCATGAAAGCATCAGACCAAGAAAGGATATTTCTTTCCCTCTTTGTCCCAGCTAATAAAGTCCGCCTATGGTTAATGTAACTATTAAGCATCATTGAGGGAAAGTATAAGAAAGGGAACAAGAGACATACAATTATCTTTCCTTCATATTGAAGACAGTGAATTGTCAACTTCTTTCCGTAAAAGGGAGAATGAGGTTTATTTGATAAGTTTAGAACTCTATAACACAAAAGTAGTGGACCATAAAAGATCAGTTAGATCACTCTTTATTCTCACTTAATGATCACTCTTTAGAGTTACTGTAATATTACTTCTTTTTGGTTTGCTTAATAAATGATTTTGTTTAGTATCTAGGAACAAGGTTACCTTAGGAGTCAGTGGACTTATTATGTTCAGTGCTGGCTCTGCTATTTCTGCATGTGTGACCTTGGACAATCACTTAACCTCTCTAGGTCTCAGATTCCTTATTTGGAAAATGAGAAGATTGGATTAGATGATCTCTAAGGTCCTTTTCACAGCTAAATCTGAGATCATCTGACCACCCATACTATAATCCCAAACTAATACTCTATGGAAAAGAATTTATACTTATATAGAACCAGACTACTATATGTTACAACATTAGGATTGTAAACACATTGGAGTATTTAGGAGCAAGAAACATTTAGAGAAGTCCAGGCCCCAGCTGGAAGTCCCCTCCTCCAGTTACTTACATTTTTATGTGCATAATAACTATTTATGGGGTTCCATTAGTACAAAATGCCTATGTATGGTCTTACAAAATATAAGCTGGTGAAGGAGGTGAATGATGTATGCAGGCAATCAAGTAAAGCATCTCTTGAATTTTTATGTTCTGCCTTTTCTCTCATCAAAATTGCAGAGCTAAATAGAAATTATGCATATGTATTTTTTTGTTAACACAGATTTTCAAGTCTGTGTATCTGTATAGTCATGTTAATGAAGAGAACTCCCCCCACCCCAACATAGGAAGCTGTTGGCTTTAGGTAGACTTATTTCTAATTTAGTGTTCTAAATATGCAGAATTCACAGATATCACCCTCGCAGTTAGACACAAATTCTCATCCTCTCTTAAAGAATATTTGAACTGACATGAGAAATACTCCTTCCCTTAAATAAATATAATCCTTTTTTCACCAACAGGACAACATTTTTAAGCTGGAGGATTCACATTTTGAAAATGGCCGTGGAAAGAGTCCATATGACCCCAAACTGCTGACAGCATCTCTTTTAATAGGTGCGTAGTCAACAATAAATGAGAAAAACATTTTCTGTAGATCACTACCAAGTTGCTTGTTCTTTTTTTCCTTTACCAAGGTTATACATTTTTTATCTTGAAATCTTTTCAGGAGGATGTCAAGTGTGATCTGTTTAAATGTTTTGGAAATAGAGATAAAATACTAAATCTTGCTTTTACTGTTAGAGGCTATCAAACTTCCAACCTTTTAATTGACTTGGAAATGATTGATCAATACCTAAAAAAGGTGACCCATATCTCTACATATTGTTATGAACACTTTAATATTTTTTTATCTATTATTTTTTCCGGTGAGATATTACCTAAGATTTTGATGCTGGATTATATGAAAATAAGAAAGGCAATTACACAGTGAGTTTCAGCAAGCCGTACAAAAGTGAGGCTCAGTTTGCATAGCATACTTGGCAGAAGAATAGCCCCAAGAATCATTATTCTTATCATAATTTCTGATTAAACCAATCAGAGCAATTGGTCTGCACGGTGAGTCATGCCTTTGAGAGTTATCTACAATCATTAGTCATCAATTGCACTAACCTGTTGGACCAGCCTCAAAGTGAACAGAAGAAAACCGCCTTATAGTTCTTGTATTGTTTAGTGGTTTTGCTTCTTCTCTCTTATTTCAGGTGAAAAACTTCTATATCATCCTTGACATCTTCCTCTTCAATTCTCTCTTCTTCCATTCTTTGTATGTTTTTCATTCTGCCAACCTAGCCATTGGGAGAAGAGATAAAGTCAGGCTGGAGAGAGAAAGGAAGGTGACAGATGTGATCTTGGTTGGGATAGGATAAGAGTTCCAATTTTTTCTACCCCAAGGCCATGTTTCATCCCCAAATTCATGATCTGACAGTTTTTCACAGTTCTCCCTGTGGGCATGTGCAAACAGATTAAAACACCAAGGATTCTGGATTCTAATTCTGTTACTGCCTACAATTTGCTGAGTAAGCTTTGCAAAATTAACTGAAAATTCTTTACTTCCTCATTGATAGAATGAATTTTTTATGAAAAATTAATTAAAATAACATGATAGCAAACATAAAAACCTTAACTAAAATACTTCAAAAGAAGAGTAAAATCTATTTTTCCTCTAAATTGTAAAGACGTCACAAAAATTATTTTTCCCCATCTTTTTGTCTTTTATAATTCACTTTTTAACTAAAAACAAATGATCCTAACTGTATTTCCACTGATTGGCATCTTAAGCAAGTGTTAAGATATGTTTTCCAGAATTCACTCATCCACGTCCAACAATGAATAAAACTGCTTCATCATGAGCTATCTTCTCCATTACTTGTCAAATACATGCAATTTTAGGGCTTCCTTTAATGATCAGTTTGGCTCCCCATTTATGCTGCAGTTTAGCAAAAGGTTAGTCATAGAGGAATGCAGCACACATAGCGAGCTTATAATTTTCCTATTCACAGCAGGCCTAATGATTACACTCAAATGACTTCCTTGAGGGCACGCAATAAAAATTTTAAAACATAGTCAGCCAAAGGGGAGGAGTTTTACCTTGTTCAAACTTGTAGCTTACATTTATTCAAATTGTACAAAAAATGGGGAAGGTTTATTCCTAAAATAAGATGGTGAACAAATTAGTGCCTCAAGCAATTTGAATCTTTCATGTGCTTCTCCATGGGGTTTTATTGGATCTTGCGCTTTCATATGAAGTTGACAGAGGATGTTGACAAGTAGGCATGATGATGTGCATATGGTATGCAAACACACAAAGTCAACACAGAATTTTAAATTTCACAATTTTGGCTTCCTTTGAAAATAATCTTGGAAAATCTTTAGTAATATGGAAGGAAAAAAAAGTAGGTATTAAAGTGTTAAAGAAAGGGTGTCTGTCTTAAGAACATTAGTCAGTGTCCAAAGGAAGGCCTTAACTAAATACTAATGAAACATATTTTAATATGCTTCACTAACTAAAAACATGAGTTCAAATATTGCCTCTTTCACTAACTGCATGTTCAACCTTAGACAAGTCACTTAATTTTTCTGGTCCTCAGTTTCTTCATATATAAAATGAGGGGATTAAATGAGATAATCTCTAAATTTCCTTCCAGATCCAAATCTATGGTCTCATTTAAAGTAGAATAAAATTATCCCTTAATCAAATGGATGGCTAGGAACAAGCTATACCAAGCTGGTAAAATTGTTGAAAATGCTCACAACCCCCTTTTAATTCAAGTATTGTAACTCCATTTATTGTAGTCATTTTCTTTTCTTTATTTTTTTTTTACAACTATGCTGTAAATTCTTCTTCTCATGGTACATTTAATCCTCCTTGTTGGGTTATTTTTGGCAGTCACTCTTGTGCAGCAGTAAAAATAATACTCAATAACTTAATAGGAGCCTTTTTTATAGATGGATACTACATCACTGTGGAAACTCTCACATGCAAGTCTTCATATGGACAGCAACTAGTCGTCCCCAAAAAAGAAGATATTTTCATTCCTACCGAATATAGGCTACCTTTATGAAACATTCTATGCAAATTGACCTGAGACCAATGCAAAAGGCAAAAATTTTTAAGGGAGTGAAGATGTTGTCCTTTTCTAGAAGAGGACCCAAAGTGCTGATTACATGGCATTGACCACAGAGCAAGTTCCAAATTACCCTTTGAAATAGTCCAACTCCAATTCTTCATTACCAACACAATCACTAAACTAGTTTCAGTTTTCTCCAAAGGCAAAAGAGTACATGATAATCCCAAATATCAATGTTAATTGACTTACTATCCCCAGAGTATCCCAGGTTCCTTACTAATTATGAGTAGTTCTTATTCTGGTGCTAAGTTCTATGTGTCCACTAAAATCAAATCTCAAATACATGTCAAATGTCCTTCATTTTCTAAGTCTCTTTTGATAAAGTTCAGGAGTATTATAAAAGAACATTTCATCATTATTAAATTGTTCCAGTATTTTTAGAAACATGTTTCTTATTGTACCCACCTGCAAACATTTTTCATTACTTTCTTTAAAACTTGTTCTTTAAAGGTAGCAATTGCTACCCTGCTCTGAATAAATCCCAGATGCAAAAAGGATGCAATTTACTTTCAAGAAGCAAAACAGAGTATTTCCTCCAAAGTTAACAATCATTTCACATCTCTACAATTAATTGTACAGCTAACTTGAGCACTTTTCCTTTTCTTTCTTTTGACTGATCATTTAGAAATACTGTCTATGTGAGATACAGCATTGAAATCAATTATAGGAGACTGAAGAATGTTAACTAAAATTTCATTCATTCAGCAACATTCTAAAACATTTGCAAATGCCTACCATGCATACATCACTCTTGGGTGTTAAAAATAATTAAATGCCATCCCTCCTGGAGCTTCTAGTCTAATGGAAATTACAACACAAACACAAATACTCACTATGTAATATATAATGAATGCATTTGAGAGATGCAAAACCGAACACTATGTGAGGTCTGGGGAGAAAGGTCATTACCAATGGGGAATCATGTAAGCCTTCATGTAAAAGTTGGCATTTGAGTTGGCCTTTACTGGATGGATAGAAATTCTGCTGGTGAAAAGTGGGAAGGAGAAGACATTCCAAGTTTATAGGACAACATGAACAAAGGCATATGAGAAATGAAAGGCGTAAGAGGGTTGGATTGGAGCACATCCTCCTGATGTACATGCTTGATTAAGACTAGACTCTGACCAGATAGGAAGAAAGAGAAGGAGAGTGAGGCAAGGGTGGTTCATTCTCTTTTAAACATCCTGTTCTTGTTTAAGGGCCAATTACGACATTGAGTAGCCACGATAGAGTATAAGACATTTAACACTGAGCCACACGTTGCCTTGGAAGTGGTCTAGGTGCGGGCTCAGCACTCCATAAGGTTGGAGGAAAAAGGCTCCAATCCAGCCTCTACAGTAGTCTAATTGAATTGGAGCATATAGGATGTGGAGTAAGGAAAGAAATAGAATACTAGACTGGTATGAAAATCCAAATTTTATTCTTTTAGTTGAGTCCTTAGGTACACTGCAAGTAGAATTTGCTTTGGATGATAGCAATCTTAAACTGTAAAATGGGTACTGGCCATAGGTGTATTTGGTTTTTTGTCTGCATCAGTCTAACATTTTCAACTGCAATACTAATTTTGAAACATCAGCAGGATATGTTTTCTTTGTCCTCTATTTTCCCTCACCTCACCCATCTAAGGAATTGTAATCCAACCCCTAGCTGATCTAAGCCACGTTTTTATTTTATTTTGAGCTATGTAAAGAAAATCTAGAGTACATGTGACCTTTGTTTAATATGTGCCTTGGTATCTCAGACATGCTGAAAATGCTCTTAGAGTTCACTGAACTGTCTTCTTTGTTTAGTTCAGTAAGGGAAACTTCCCTTAGAGACTCAGAAAGCTTACAGTGAGAAAAAAAGAATGGAGTTGTATTCAAATGGTAACTTCCTTCTTTTGACAGTTAATATATGGTATTTCAAGTTCTGTATGCATGTCAGCACCAATTTATTTTGGGCTCATTTATTTGTTTTTGTTATACCAGACTCTCCACAGAGGTTTTTCTGCAGTTATGAGGTAAAAGGCTGTTACTGGACAGAGTATCTGCAACTGGTTTTTCCCCACATACCACTTCCTGTGCCCTAAGTTAATGAACTAAGATTAAAAAAAAATTCTTTATTTTTGGCCTTCTAATGGTGACTCCACACACACACACACACACACACACACACACACACACAGGATGTCTCCAACTCTTTGTGCTTAAAAGTAAGACTTGTGGAACAGCTCGTATACATGTGTGTATGTATTAGTATATATTAGTGTATGTGTGTACATATATATATGTATATGTACACACGCATATCTACACAAGGACAAAATTGTATGAATAATGGGTAATACTATTTGGCAGATATACACAAATATAAAACAATTCTCATAACACATCACACTTAAAATATGATTATGTTTCAGATGAAATGAAAATTATATGTAAAACAGATATTTATATTCATATCTGGAGTAGCACTAACAAACATACTTATAAATGAAATTAATTAAAATCACCAAAGTCTTAATCAAGTATCAGTCAACTATGTCTTTAAAACCAAAATAGTAAGACTAAGGCACTGCCATTTAAGTATTTCTGTTCATCTTAAAGAGATAAATATGTTATCAATGCATTGTTACAATGGCTAAAACTATCATGAGTATGTAAAACACTTGAGAAGATAGAATCAAAATTCTGGTTAATAGGCCTACAGTAGTTGAATATTCTGCTAACTACATGACTAAAACATCATTATTCATGTTTACAGAAATATCATGATGTTGTGGAAGGAAAACTTGGCTATGAGTTCAGAAGATCAGAATCTGAGACCAAGATTTAGCATTTACTCTCTGCATGACCTTAAGTTAATCATGTAACTCCTCTGTGCCTCAGTTTCCTCATTTGTAAACAGAAATAATAACATTTGAATTAAACACCTCCCAGGATTATTTTCAGGAGGGCAGATTGGAAGTTTGAAAGCAGTACAAAAATTTGAAGTTGTTATTATTATCATAAGGAGACCACCCTGACTCGGAAGGAATCATATTCCTGAATGGAATCCCTGCCAGCAAATAAACCTCCTCATTCTCTTTGTACCCTCCAAAATGTGTGTGTTTGCACACACACGCACACATACACACACACAACCCTTCACCACCAGAAAACTAAATAGGAGAGCAAAGCCAAGATCTGGGAAAATTGAGCATTTATTAAATATAATTGAAGGTCAGCAGTGCAATGATGCACCCTGGAGAGCAGTAAGAACAATTCCATTATTGGCCTCGCCCTTCACCACCACACATAAACACCTTCCTGAAGTAGCATTAATATGTGAAATTGGCTTCTCTGTGACTGGAGACAACCAAAGTTACACTCTATCCTTCCTTTAGTATCTAAGTCGTTCACTTCTACTTCCTTTGTTAATGTTTCAAAAGTTTTAAATCAAACCAATAGCTCTTCTTCTCCGGAGCACTCTCTTAATCACCCTCTGTTTTGTCAAAGAAGGAATTAAGCTCAGTCTTGTTATCTTCTTGAGTTGTATTGATTTTCCTTGACTCACTTGGGAGAGGACAACAACAAAATGAGGTTAAACATTAGTTATGAGAAGTATTTGAACCTTTTCCAAGAGTACAAGTTTCCAGTTCCACTAAATATATTTTATAAAATACTTTTCATTATCTTCCTAAAAAAAATAAGGTAAATGACAGACAAGACAGACCATTAAATGAAGGCATGCTCCCCACTTTCACTTAGAATTCTGTCTCCTGCTAGTCATACTTGAATCTTTCTGCTGTGTAAATTTATTTTTTAACTTTTCTGTGATCTTTTTCAACTTTCCTCATGTTTGTGACTACCATATGCTTCACAATCTCTATGATTAATAGCTTTACTTTTTCATTTTTCAGGGGGGAAAGGACAGGGTATGTCTTTTGCTATGGGTGTACAACCATGTATTTTTTTTTAAAGAAATGGCATGAAGATTAGAGATTTGTTTCCAATCCAATGGAATAAGCATTAATTAAACACCTACTTTCTGTACTGGCACTAGATACAAGGACTAAATGCAAACTGAATAGCTTACATTCTATCTCAGCATTTGTGGGCTGTGGCCCATGGTTCTACTTAGCCAAAAATCACATCAAAGACTCATCAGTCACACAGGGACTCCAAACATCCTATTTTGGGGCCCCTTGGTCATAACCATCACAAGCTACACGGGCTAAGGAGTTGAACCTCTCCTAGACATCCTCTGATAAAATGAACAAACAAACCCCAAAGATACATGGGCTATGGAGTTGAGCTTCAATCCAATGGATTCCCTGATGAGAGCCACAATGCAGCTCGCAACCCAGCTTTACATGAGGGTCACAATACCTTCCAGGGACCTAAAGCCCATTACTTCCTAAAGCACATGTTTAAAACGTAGGTTCATATTCAAACAGATCAAGAAAAATCTTTCACCTAAATTTTAAAAATCTACAACATCCTTTTTTTGTATGTAGATAGCCAGTTCCTTTTAAAGGAAGGATGCATAAAATAGCTACCAATAGGAAGGAACATTGCAGTAATATAAACAGGAGTTTAATATCCACAAGATGAAATATTTGACTGCGTGGTTTCCTTTGAAACCAATTGGTGGGTCTCTTTATAACATCTGCACACTTTTAACACAGGATTTTTTGCCTGGTGGTCTTTCAGGATACTATTTTACAGTATGTTACCATTGAATATGCTCAGAAATTTGAACTTGAAGGGTGGTTTAATTTTTTTAAAATATTGATATTATTACTGTGGCTTTTTGGTTTTATATTTTGAAGTGCCTAACATTATTAGAGATACTTTTTGCACAATTATCCAACAAAATGTCAGACCATTATGCATATATTTCCAAGATGAAGTCTTTTTATTCTCAGGACAGGAATGTGCTGAGATGGAAAAACTGCTCTCACTGGGCATTTCTCTAAGATTCTTCCAAGCTAACGTGATCCAGATAGATTATAAGATCCATTTACCAGCAACAGAAATGCTTCGGGTTGGAAATCTGGGAATATTTCTAGTATATTAGGAGCAATTTCTCTTTTTTTTAATTTTTAGGCAATTGGGGTTAAGTGACTTGCCCAGGGTCACACAGCTAGTAAGCACACCACCTAGCTACCCCAACAATTTCTGTATAAGTTAAGAATGGGGAAGTAAATATGAATGATAATCAAAGAAATCAGATGTGCAGTGTTTCCTTAATTAAATTGATACCTATATAATTTATTTTCTATGTATTTCTATAGATTTAACAGAATAATAAATAGTAGAATTATTTAAGCATTATAAAAATATACTAAAATTATGGATAATCTTTATCCTCTTAATTAAAAAAAATCTAAGAATATGCACGTCATTTACAAAAATTCCACAACATATTAAGTTTCAAAGTGATAATAGTAGAATAGGTGAATCTACTTGTTTTCTACTGTAGGGAGCAGTCTATTTTCTAAATAGAAATAGGCCAAATCATATGAATTTTAGTCACCTAATTTCCACTCATTTAATCTATTTAACAAACTGTTGTTTGTGGCTCATCCCTTACCCTGGCCTAGAGTTTCCAGCAATGATATTGATAAATATAAGAATTATTTCAACTTCGCAGGATAATGGAATGAGATATCTCCCCATATCTCTTCTTTGGAGCCAAACTTCGTCATTCTAATTTTTCAACATTCCATTTTGATTGTTTGTATATTTTTGTTCTTTCCAATTACATTGTACTGATGTTAGCACTAGTTTTTTTTTTTAACTTAACATACATTTGATACAAGCTTACCATGTATAAGACACTATATCAGGTGTTAAGAATATAAAGAAAAAAAATGGGGATACTACCTGGAAAAAAAAAGAAATATCTCAACTTCTAAGGGATTCCTTGTTCTATTGTGTACTATGAAATTGTTATTGTTGGACTGCTATCTGGTAGAAAGAACTGATCAGTAGAAGTATGTACAGTAAGATTTTACATATATGTATGCATATTTGTGTCTAATGGTAGCCATCTCTAGAGTGGGGGAGAGGGAAAAAGGGAAAAAAAGAAATTTACATGATAACTTTATTATATATTTAAAAGGAATAGCAAGTGGTACATAATAGATTCACAATTTCATTTGCAGTCATCTTTTTTTTATTATACTATGTTATGGAAATGTTTGTTTTATTGCCCTCAGTCCAATCAATCCAATAAACACTTAACTGCCATAAAAATAAAAAGAGAGAGAGAGAGAATACTATCTGCTGACACTTCAAGACAGAAGACTTATCCTATGTACTGAGAAATTTAGGGAAAATAAAGTTATGCCAAAACTTTGGAAAGAGGAAGAATTAAATTTTGAATTAAAATAAATCCTCTTTAATTTAGCATCCCTCATAGATGAAATAGGTTTGAGTCAATCATAAATTTCATATTCATGTATAAAAATTATTTGCTAAACTTAAAGTTTTAAGATTTCAGGACAAATATTTAGTTTACTTCAAAATTTTGAGTAACAAAATTATTATTTTTATTTATCATTATTGTTTATTATTTAACAAAAATAATTATTTCAAAAGCATATATATTTATATTGATACATACACATGTATCTGTGTGTGTTCATATTCACATACATTTATAGAAAGGGAAAGGGAAAGAGAAAGAAAAGGAGAAAAAGAAAAAGAGAGAATAGGAACAGGGACTAGACCTATGATTTCATTGGTATAAAGAAATCCAAGGTGAGGAAACTCCCTTGATTAAGACAGTTCCACACACTGTTTACAACTTATGGTCTCACAGTTTCCTGGAGCCTGGTTAAGGCACTTCCTCAAGGTCATACAGATAGTATGTATCAGAAACAGTGGTTGGACCCAGGTGTTCTTGGTTTCTAGGCCACCTCTATACACCTTGCCATTCTGCCTTTCTGTGTAAATAGGAACAATGTATTAATTACAAATTATATTTATTAATCTGGGCAAATCCAATAGCACTACTATATGGCAATATTAATTTAGTTCATGTTACTTTTCTGCTATTTGGAAGTAATGAAATATAATTTTCTTAGACATATTCTACAATCTATCATTTTTACTAATTCAGATTGGCCTTCATTCCAATTATGTGTAGCAACATTTTACTGTATAGCTTTGTTTAGCTGTTAAGTCCATATGCAACAACAAAACATGGATGAAAACTTGTTGAAAGATTTAAAAACTATGGATTTGGCATAGGGAAAAATTAACCAAGCATAATGGATTTTGTGAAAGACTACCTTCTTTTTTTACCCTCATGAGCAATATCAGTTTGAAAATATTCGCCTGTAAGAATGATGTTAAAGGATATATTCAGTGCTATATTCTGTCACTCCACAGATGGAGAATTATACTCTGGAACTGCAGCTGATTTTATGGGACGTGACTTTGCCATTTTCCGAACTCTTGGGCACCACCATCCAATTAGGACAGAGCAGCATGATTCCAGGTGGCTAAATGGTAGGTAAAACATGTAATAATAACATGGAACCTTGTTTTTAAATCTAATAATCCAGATCTAAAGACTTAGTTTAAAATTGGATATGGCCCTTGATACCAATGACTTTGAATGTTCAACAATTAAGTTTCTTGTATGCTGAGGATAAAATATTAGCTTATATTTTAATAAATATTAGTGAATACTTACTGGTGGTGGTTATATGATTAGGGAGTATGAGCAAACTGAGCAAAAAAAAAAGGAAAGAGAGAGATAAAAGACTCAGGAAACCTTGATGTATGCCAACAATGAGGTCATGAATTTTTTCTCTATGGGAAGAAAAAAAATCAGGGCTTAGAAGAAAAGCAAAAAGGAAAAGATAAGGTATGTTTAGGGCTGTGCCTGACTTAGTCCAGTCCTTGGAAACTGGAACAAAATGAGACATTTGTTGATCATTTAGCAGTTGACAAAAATAAATTTATTTAGCTATAGCAGGAGAAAGGTAGGTCTTGATGACACCTAAGGTTGATTAAGCTGAGCAAAGCTTCCTTGCTTGATTTGCCTATCATAAGCCACCTGCAAATCCTCCAAGTTCTTCTGGAGTTCCTTGTGTCTGTTTTGCACTCAAGTGATGTCAGCACTCTGAGTCTTTATTCCCTTGTGCCAGCAGAGTATCAAAAAGTGGTCAATAACTTTTAAGGAAAAAAAACAACCTAGCCTAATTTGCCTATGAGGAGTAAGGATATTGCTACTATTACACGATATTTTAAGGAATATGACCAGATATTAAACTTAAAGAATAAACTTGTTCCAGTGGCTTCCTCTTGATTTTTAGAATGAAGTACAAATTTTCTGGCATTTAAAAGCCTTCCCAATCTGGCCCCAGCCTGTCTTTACAGGCATTACTCTCGATTATACTCATTATGTGGTATTTGAGCTGTCTTACCTGCTGTCCCTCATACATAATATTCCATGTCCTGCCTTTTCCCTAGAAAGCTGGAGTGCAGAAAACATACATTCCCAAAGGTCCCATTGATCCTGTCAGAGCTGGGACTAGAAACTAGATTTCCTAATTCCTCACATTAGGTCCTTTATATCAGACTGAGCAGTGGTTTAGTGTAAAGTGACACATAATAGAATACAGAAATTTTAAAAAAGAGTGAGATATGCAAAGCAATTATGAATAAGAAAGATAAGAAATATTTTTAAGCAGCCATCAAACAAAAGGAAAAGTGTATATTTATATTTGTTTCCATTTAGATTTCATGAGTGCATTTCATTATGAATTATGTCTATATAATATGACTAAACTAGATGGTGAGGCATAACTGGGTGCATTTTTACTTATGTACTGTTACAAATAACGTCACGTAGAAAATTCATTAGGACCATGAATCCAGGTTCCATAATCTTCAAGTCCAGAGTACAAGTCTTTGCAAATGTTGTCCTTCCCTTGAACTTAGACCTTTAACACTGGCAATACACTTATTTCAGTGATACTCTCACTGAAGTAACTGTGATTCATAAGCTGTCAATGTAATTCCTCCTCCATTCAAGATGTCCTAATAATATATTAATGCAGAAACAGTAAATGCTGTGTCATTCACAATTAGTGTTGTTAGCATGGAAGGAATATATACACAAATCCATCTATATATGTACATTCATATTAATATGTTTAAATGCATATGCACACACGTAGGCACACATCAGAAGCAGACTTTGGGCTAATGTGACCTCCAGAGGTTATAAAGGTTTTCAATGTCCTTGAGAAATAAGGCCTGATTGTAATAGGTATAGATATTGAAAAGAATAAAGCACCCATTTCATTTGTATGGCCTTGGGGAAATAAAGCCAAGTCATCAACTTGAAGCTGCTTTTGTACTGCAGACCTGCATGATGACAGCTGAGTCTGAAGAATTTACACTATGGGAAAACACAGTCATTGTCCACAGCTCTGTACTTCATCTCTGAAAATGTCTAATTCCTTTGGGAATTCCAGTTATCAGTCTCTCAGCACAAAATGTGAGAACTGATTTTCCCAAATTAGAGCAGAGGTTACATCTGACAGGGTGCAGAAACCAGGACTGCTTTAAGATTGAGGACACAGTCACTTATCTGATAGAATCAAGGGACTGGGAATCATAAACTACCCGAAATTAAATACCATTCTGGAATAAAATTGGAGACATGGTGTTTATACATTCATGCAAACAATGAATGACTTTTTGTGGAATAAGAATATACTGCACAATCATCAGAACCGCCAGACCCTCAAAACTATCTAAGAAGGTTCTTTTTGAGTGGTCTTCAGGGCTATGAACATTTACTTTGGCATATGACATTTTAATTTCCCTAGATCAGTTCCTCTCCTTTGCAGCAAAAAGTTGGCATATTCCAGATATATTTTAATAGTTTCCTTCCCACTAAGGAGAAAACAAATCTGATGCAGTGGAATTTAAAATGTTTTATAAATCAGACTTTAAGCAATGTGGAGCCCCTCCTTAGTCCCAAATCATTACTCTAGGCCTATTCTTCTAGCTATATTGTCAGCAGTTGTAATTTTCAGAGAATAACTAAAAATAGAAAATCATCTTGTAAGAAGGAGTTTTCTAAGTCCTAAGAGAGAGGCATTATGTTCACTGTTATTGGTATTCATTGTTTTCTTGGTTTTCATTTCTTACTTTGGTTCCTACCATAAAGGTATCCATGAAAAGGCTAGAAAACATTTTGTCTTCTTGTCTGCTTGCCATCTTGTTTTTGTTTTATTTGTTCTTTAAGGAATATAGTTACATTCTGGGGTTTGCAAAAGGTGTACCTGAATTTAAACTACCTTCTACTTAGGATTGCTAAGTAGATGGATGCTCTGAAGGTTATAAAGAAGGGGAATTTAATATTTGGAGTCAGATGAACTAATTAGTTAGACCACATCAGGTCTGTGGACCTTTTTACCCTAACCTCTAATTATAAAAATACAACAATAGACAAATACTTTGACAGTTGTTCCTTAGATATATGTACTAAAGGATGAAACAAATTTAAGAAAAGACCTGATAGTATAGACTCAGCTCTTATGGAAACTATAGGTTAAATAGGAGTATTGAATTAGACATTTTAGAAATAAGTTGGAATTTATTTGCTTTTTGTGACTATTAGACCTCTCAATTTTCTCGTCATGTCTGTGGCTTAATATTTTAAACCAGTTAGTTGCATGTTTCAGTACCCTGGAGACAAAGTCCTTCATAATCCTTATTTTACGGTTACATAAGCAGTTGAGTATTATAGGAACTGAGTGAACATTCAATAATAAAAAAAAAATACCCTCTTAAATTTCACAGGCTATGAGACAGGAAACAAGGACACAATCCTCTTATGGCATTTGCGTTATATTTTCTGGCAGTTACTGTTCCCTGTCCCCTTTATTGCAGATTACAAACTGCCATAAGATGGCCTTGGACATTGAATGAGTAGCTACATATATACTGGTTGATGTTATGATAGCATACAGTTTATCTATGGAATCAGGAAGCTAAGAAATAAAATATGTTCAGAGAGTACCCTTCTTCTCAATTGAAATTGGCAGCAAATGAGCCCAATGGTTTGAAAGTTTTTAATGTCTATTTTGTGAAACAAAATTTAGCAGTTTTTCTTTTTGTTTGTTTTCATTTAATTCATACAGTCCTTCACCTTCAGACAAAAAACACATACCCTCTTTTGTATATTCTGTTGGGAAAAAAAATACACAATAAAACTAAACTATGGGGTCTTTTTACTCTCAAACTACTAATCATTTTCGTGTGACCTACAAAGTACTTTTTTTCTTAAACAGGCCAACCTTACCAAAACATTAATTTCCTTTACCTCATCTTTCCTAGACTCATTTTCCATGTTCAACCTTTTACCAAAGGAAAAGAGTGAGCTTTAGCCTACCTCAGTTGAAATAAAGTTTAGTCTGTCAGAAATAAATGTATGAAGCTTAGAAATAAAAATAAAATTCTTATTGCTGGTATCAACTTTTGATAGGGGATATTTCTTATAGACAGTCTAACAAAACACATTTGAGAAAAATATGATCAGTCTATGTCACTTCTTAATGTAGCCAACCATTTTTTTTTTCTGGAGAGAATCAATAAATATATACTCTTAAAAATGTTTTATCAAGACCTGTGAATTCATCATTGATGTAGGAAACTCCCTCTACCATAGCAAGTTGGCAGCTCTTCAGGGTGCTGAGAGGCTAAGGAAAATGCCCTCGGGTCATGTAGCCAAGATGTGTCAAAGGCAGGACCTCAATTCCAGTGGTTTCTATTCTGAGACTTGCCCTATATCCACTGCATCTTTTGGCTTCTGAAATAGTTTTCAAAATCGTAACATTGCCATCAAAAATACAAAGTTGTTTGTTTAACTGAAACCACGGCTGAAGCAGTATAGTGCAGTGGGAAAAGTCCTGGATGGGGAATTAGAGGACCTAGTTTCAAATCCTGGTTCTGTTACTTGTTATCTCTGTGATCTTGGGATTCCCTGGCTTCATTTAAAACAGTATAAATCCTACTTTCTTTAGGAGGCCTTTCAAAATCTTTCTTCAAGTCCCTCCACTGTATGTCTTCTCTATCCACCTAGTTGTTTCCATGTTGAATACTGCATTATAAGTTCCTTAAAGGCAGGGATGGTTTTTTTTTTTTTTGCCTTTACATTCCCCCCAACCTGTTGTACATTGACTGAGACACAGTAAGTACTCAATGAATGCTTGTTAACTGACTGACTGAGATATAGGTAAAAGAACAACAAAAAGATATCATAGAAAGGTCCCATGAACTAGATCTTAGATTTATGACTGTGATGACATGGTATCCTTAGTATTTTGAAATGAAATAATGAACACCATTAGTATTAGTAAACCTTGATTAGTATTAATAATACCAGCTAGCAGTCATAGAGGCCCTGATAAGATGGAATATGGCCTAGTGGAAAGAGGGATTATTTCAGTGTCCAGTCAAAGGTTCAAGTCTTGACTCTGACACAT